GGTCTTTATTGCTCAACTGTATTACTTGCCATTGAAGAAAGGCTTTATCTATAATGTATAAGGAGTTTGATGGTGGAGACAATATGGATTTACTAATTTACTCTGACTTTCTTTCTTTTCTTTCTTTCTGAGTTGGAGTCTCACTCTGTATCCCAGGCTGGAGTGCAGTGGCATACTCACAGCTACCACAGTCTTGAAGTATCTGCTGGGCTCAGGCAATCCTTCCACCTCAGTCTTCCAAATAGCTGAAACTACAGGTGTGCACCACCATGCCTGGCTAACTTTTTGTTTTATTGTAGAGATGAGGTCTTGCCAAGTTACCCTGTCTGGTCTTGAATCCCTGGGCTCAGGCAATCCTTTCACCTCTGCCTTCCAAAGCACTGGGATTACAGGCATGAGCCACTATGCTTAGCTAAATCTGATTTTCTAAAGAATGGGTGATATAGATTGTTAGTTTGAACCATTTAAAACATTTATCATGCTAGGCGTGGTGGCTCAGCCTGTAATTCCAGCACTTTGGGAGGCTGAGGTGAGAGGATTGCCTGAGCCCAGGGGTTCGAGACCAGCCTGGGCAACTTGATGAGACCTCATCTTTACAATAAATCACAAAAAAACTAGCCGGGCATGGTGGCATGCATCTGTAGTTCCAGCTACTTGGAAGGCTGAGGTGGAAGAATCACCTAAGCCCAGCAGTTTGAGATTGTGGTGGCCATGAGCGTGCCACTGCACTGCAGTCTGGGGACATGAGTGAGACTCCAACTCAAATAAATAAAACATCAATTGGCAGTAGCAGAATACTACTGGGGTGGGGAGGGGGAGACACAATATCAATAAGGGTACCTGATCTCAAACCAGGCAAAATGGTGACCAAAGGGAGGCCCAAACTTTACCTGAACAATGTCCACTTGTATACCTAATCCTGAATTGCATCCCACATCTTTATTATTATTATTATTATTATTATTGAGTTGTAGTCTCAGTCTGTCACCCAAACTGGAGTGCAGTGGCACACTCCCAGCCACCGCAGCCTCGACCTGCTAGCTCCTGCAATCCTTCTGCCTCAGCCTTCCAAGTAGCTGGAACTATAGGCATGTGCTACCACGCCCGGCTAATTTTTATTTATTTATTGTAGAGACAAGGTCTTGCCAAGTTGCCCAGATGGGTCTTGAACCCACGGGCTCAGGCAATTCACTCGCCTCGGCCTCCCAAAGTTCTGGGATTACAGGCTGAGAAACTGAGCATGGCCTAATTTTTGATTTATTGTAGAGATGAGGTCTTGCCAAGTTGCCCAGGCTGATTTTGAACCCGCATGTCCAGGCAATTCACTTACCCTGGCCTCCCAAAATGCTAGGATTATAGACTGAGCCACCAAGCCCGGTCCACATTTTTAAAACGAAATATAAAAACAAAAAATAAAACAGCAAGTTATGATTAACATGGAATAAGTTGTACATATTTAAAGTGTACAATTAGCCTAGTTTTGACATAAGTGTAAACCTGTAAAAGCATCACTGTAGCTGAGTACAGAGGCTCATGCCTGTAATCCTAGCACTTTGAGAGGCGGAGATAAGAGGATTGCCTGAGCTCAGGAGTTCAAGACCAGCCTGGGCAACTTGGTGAGACCTCATCTCTACATTAAATCAAAAAATTAGCTGGGTGTGGTGGCGCACACCTGTAGCTACAGCTACTTGGAAGGCTGAAGCTGTAGGATCACCTGAGTCCAGCAGGTCAAGGCTGTTGTGGCCTTAAGCAGGCTACTGCACCCCAGTGTGGGTGACAGAATGAGACTCCAACTCAAAAAAAAAAAAAAAAGCACCACTGTAATAATAATACATAATGAGCATATTTCTCACTTGCATATTTTTAGTGCCCCTTTTATAATCCTTCTCTGATCTTATAGGCAATCTTTGATTTACATTCCTTTATATTAAACTGGTTTGCATTTTTAAGAATTTTATGATAGCAATCATAAAGTGTTTTCTTCTTATTTTTTCTGGTTTTGTTCATTCTCCATAATTAGAGATTCATGAACAATGCCTATGCTAATAGTTCATTCTTATTTCTGAGTAGCATTCACTTCTATAGATATAAGACTCTCATTTATCCATCCATTTGCTTATGGACATTTGGTTGACTTCCAGTGTTTACCTATTTCAAATAAAGCTGCTACAAACATTTGTATACAAAAAAAAGAAGGAAAGAATGGGTGACAAGAAAGTGGTAGCTACTCTTTAATATGACTGTCATGAGAATAAAAAAGATAAACTTGAACTAGACTGAGGAAGTAGCCAACCATGGAAAGTTCTGTTTTTAGGGTTTGTTTTTGTAATTGAAAGAGAATTGAGCATGTGTTTGTAGTTTCAATGAACAGGAATAGAGATAGGACATGAGTGGAGATTTGACTATGGGCAGAAGAAGGCCAGTATCTTCTAAAATGAGAAGAAAGGATGGATGCAAATACAGAAAAAGTATGGCTGGGCTCGGTGCCTCAGCCTGGAATCCTGCGCTGTGGGAGGATGCGGTGAGTGGATTGCCTGAGCCCACGGGTTTGAGACCCACCTGGGCAACTTGGCAAGACCTCATCTCTACAATAAACTAAAAGAATTAGCTGGGCGTAGTAGCGCACACCTATAGTTCCAGTTATTTGGAAGGCTGAGGCAGAAGGATCGCTGGAGCCTAGCAGGTCAAGGCTGAGGTGGCCAGGAGCGTGCCACTGCACTCCAGTTTGGGCGACAGAGTGAGACTCCAACTCAAAAAAAAAAAAAAAGTATGGGATAGAGAGGAAGGAAACTGCAAATCAAATGGGATAGTTTTGTTTTCTGTAAAGAGAGGAAGAACAAGAAAAGGCTTAGGATTGTAAGAGGACCCAGTTGGGGTGAGACAACAGGAATCTGTACTGGAACCAGTATATCTAGTTTTGTGACTTTGTTCCATAGCCAAGGAACAAAGAAGCTCACCATATGATTTGCTCAAGGTAGGGCTTATCAAATTGAGAGACTTTGGCACTAAGGGCATGACTGGGCTGCCTTTGGTATGAATACCAATTAGTGATCCTTGAGGTCACTGTTGTTGGCTTCCAACTCTGCCCCATTGTATATCTTGACTTCCTTTCTTACTCTCTCCTGTCCTAGTCTCCAGTTCTCTCTTTTGTTTTACGTTTCCTTAGGTTTTACAGTAACCCCAGCGTGGTAGACACATCTTATGGTGATCCCTAATGATTCCTGCCTCCTAGTATCCATGCCTTTTGTGATCCCTGATCTCTTCCTCTTGACCTGTGCCTTGCTTTTAGTCATAGGATATGGACAAGGTGATGGGATATATCACCTTGTCACATATACCATAAGTTATATTATATATAGCTCTGTCTTAGCAATCCACTGCTAGAAACCCTCCTTGTCAGCTTTCTAAAGTAGGTGGCCATGCAAGAGAAGCCTACGTAGCAAGGAACTGTGGTAATCTCTAGGAACTGCAGGTGATCTCTGGAACTTGAGGGAGGCCTCTGGCTAGCAAAAATTTCAGGCCCTCGGTCATACAGTTGCAAGGAAGTAAATTCTGCCAGAAGGCTGAATGGGCTTGTAAGTGGATTCCTCCCCAGCTGAGTATTCAGATGAGACTGCAGTGTGGCTGACACCATGACTGCAGTCTTGTGAGACTCTAAGCAAAGGACACGGCTAAGCTGTTCCTGGGCTTCTTACCTAGAACCAATGTGATGATAATATGTTTTTTAAACCTTAAGTTTGTGGTAATGGGTTTTTGTTTTGTTTTTTTTTTGAGTTGGAGTCTCACTCCGTCGCCCAGACTGGAGTGCAGTGGCCACTCCCGGCCACCACAGCCTCGACCTGCTGGGTTCCAGCCATCCTTCTGCCTCAGCCTTCCAAGTAACTGGAACTACAGGCGTGCGCTACCATGCCCGGCTAAGTTTTGATTTATTGTAGAGATGAGGTCTCCCCAAGTTGCCCAGGCGGATCTTGAACCCGCGGGCTCAGGCAATCCACTCAGCCTCACAAAGGCGCAGGAATACAGGCTGAGCCACCGAGCCCGGCTAGTTTGTGGTAATTTGTTACACAGCAGTAGAAAACCAATACACCCGGAATTCCTAAAAAAAACCTTGGGGTCCCTCAGGCAGGACCCCTACATTATATGATATCTAAGAAACTCTGTGTCTGGGCCCAGGACACTGAGCTGGGTGAGGGAAGCCAGAGACTGTGCTACACACATCCAGTAGGCACTCTGAACTTCAAGGCATAAATTAAGAGGCCCTTGCCGGGCTCGGTGGCTCAGCCTGTAATCCCAGCACTTTGGGAGGCTGAGGTGAGTGGACTGCCTGAGCCCGTGGGTTCGAGACCCGCCTGGGTAACTTGATGAGAGCTCATCTCTACAATAAATCAAAAACTAGCCAGGCGTGGTAGCACGCGCCTGTAGTTCCGACTACTCGTAAGGCTGAGGCGGAAGGATCGCCGGAGCCCAGCAGGTCAAGGCTGCGGTGGCCGGGAGCGACCACTGCACTCCAGTCTGGGCGACAGAGTGAGACTCCAACTCAAAATCAAAAAAAAAAAAAAAAAAGAGGCCCTGGATCTCAAAGCAAGTTCTGCCCCCACTCCCACGCCTACCAGCTTCCCAGAATGCCTGTCCAGTCAGTTCTCAGAGATGGGCGAAGCCGGACCTCGGAATGACAGATTGCCAGAAGTAGATCAAGTCCACCACTGAATCTCGGCGTTTGGCACGGTGCCTGGCACACAGTGGACGCCCAACTAGCGGTTTGACTGTAAAAGACAGAGGCCTCGAGCGCGCATCTGCTGGCGCCTCTTTGTGCAAAAGGGAGAAGAAAGACTCCGGGAGCGCTAGGGACTCTGCCAGGGTCCTGCAGCGAGTCAGGGCTAGGCCTC